AAAAAAAAAAAAAAAAAAAAAAAAAAAAGGAGCAGTGAATAACTAGAACTATGCAATCACAGAGAACCATATCCAAAGTAACTTAATAAATGATATTAGAATTATTAAAGGTTTATATTATTATTAATTTTAAAATTAATCTGAATACTCGTATTAATAAATAAATAAATAATATCTTATTAATAATTTCGGAATCTCGGCCTATGTGGCCATGTCTATTGGTTGTTGTTTGTTCCTTTCATTTAAGACAAGTGGTAAATTAATAATCCCTTGTTGGGCATGCTGTGCCTTTATCATGTGCTCCTTTCTTTGGGCCTACCTCAATATATTACTATTACATTATTTTTAAGATAACAAAATAATAAAATAGTATTTATAACGTAACAAGAGTGAATATGTTTTTTCTTCTCGATCTCGGTCACAAATAACTTTTATTAGAAATTATACTCAATTGTTTATAACTTTTTTAGGTAAAAACATGATCTACACTAATATAATAACTGGCATAATTACGAGATAATTAATTACGTAACTGAGTGATAACATAAATTATTATAATACAATGAATAAAAATATTGAATAGTTTATAATTTAAAAGCACTATAATTATAATTCCTTCAAATAACTATGGAAATCACCTCGTTATGGTGTATGTTGAGTGAATTTATGGTTATATTACTTGAAGTATAATGAATATAACTTACAGAGATTGAAGTGAAGAGAGTGTGCCCAAATTTTCGTTTATAGTACCACTGAGGAAGTTGCGGTCGGCACAGCTGTGACAGGAAGATGTACAGGTATTTGATTGAGAATTAAGCTGTCCATATATAGATGCAAGACTGTTTTAATCTATAAAAAAAACACTTACATCACTGTCAAGTTTTGACAATATTATGCTGTCTGGTATTGGCCCATTCAAGTTATTCCGGGAAAGATCCCTGATTTTCAACCCAGATAACAGAATAAATATATGAATATATATAATAAAAAAAATATCTTGCAAATATACCATTGACTTACAATATACGAAGCGATTGTAGACCCTTCAGATTCGAAGGGATGGTGCCATCAAGATCGTTGCTGGAAAGATCCCTGATTCATGATACATGTTCCGGAAGATAAAAACTTTCAGTTAATATCATCAACAGATTCAATTCTATATTGTATCAATGGAACTTTTATCAGTTGTGGTGTAGAAAAGGTCTTTCTGAAGTTTTCTATACTTCACGAATATTGATAGACATTCCTTCTGAAATTTTAAGCAGTTTTTTTTTTTATATAATCTACAAGTTATTTTAGACAAAAAAAATTATAATCTCAATGCCTTTGTATTATATAAATAATCATTTCAATTTAAAAATTTAAGTTATTTGATAAGCTATATATATCTATATATATATATATATATATATATATATATAACTTTAACATACTCTCAACTAAAAAGTTATTTAAGCTTAATTATTGCACAATTCACCAATACCTTATATTTATTTATTTGTAATTAATTAACTTGAGAACATGGCTTAAAGAGATTATCAATTAGTAATTGGCTTTAAATCACAGCATTAAAATATGACTTCTGTTAGAACTAATTATTCATTAGGAAGCTTGATAGAATCTGCTAGATTTACAATGAAGCAGAGCGTGCTACAATTCAGTCATCATTAGAAGGGTTATCTACTATCATTTCTAAGGAATTTCAACACCATTTATTTTATATTTTATTCTCTTTTTTTTTCAATTGAAGAGCAAAACATAATATCACAATGTTGTTATATGTAGCAAAACTCTAAATTGATCTAAAAGAGAGTTTATATTACTTTCAGCAGATGAAAAAAGTTGTTATATGTAGCAAAAAAACATAATATCACACAAAAGCCAAACACAAAGAAAAATATTAAAAAGGTTCGTTTGTTACAATTTCAAATCAATTTAGAATTAGTTATTAATTATTAATTGTCTTTAAAAGTATAACTTCGGTAAGAACTGGCAAGCGTGATAGAAATATGTTAGATATAAAATCCATACGATGCTTAAAATAATTTTATGGAATTCTAATTTGCATATATTTATGTTGAAAGGGATAAGGTTAATGCGATTCAAAACTGAGCAAACTAAAGTATAAACCCAAATTAAACTGGAAGACTTACAGATATTCCAGATTCTGCAACTTTGTCAGGCTTGGAGGTATAGACCCGGTCAACGAATTGCTTGAAAGGTACCTGATGTTTTGCACAAAGCCATTGTACCATTATTTAGAAATAAGAACAGCCTAGGCATGCCATCATTTATATGTAAAGAAGAAGGAATCCAAGCTTTAACATACAAATACTTGAGATGCTGTAATTTCCCCAGCGTTGAAGGAATCCCACCAGAAGCTGATTACCGTAAAGATTACTGTTGTAGGCAATATGATCAAACCTCATTTTCATCAATGGTGACCACTGTAGATTCAATACTGAAAAGAGAAATGTATATGTAGTTATGATACTTACATTGTTTCCAAGTTTTTGAAGCGACCTATTGAATAGTGAATAGATCCATCCAACTTTTTTCGTACCAATTTTCTGTCAAAGAAATTGAAGTAATTCACATCGAGACAATCAGAATTTGAATCTATCAAGTTTTATACATACATGTAAGTGACCCAACGAAACGATCCATTTTTGGTGTTGTGAGGGGAACCACATTTGATCTCTTCTCCAGAACAAATATGATCCGACAGCGATAACTGGGTGGAAGATGACAGCAAATTCTGTGCAAGGAGTCGAAGAGCAAGTACTGCCGAAAAAAGATTCTTGTTAAGTCCCGCAAAGATCTTCTGATATTTAAGATAAAAGTACTCAATCGACTTATTATATACTTACATGTACGGGTTAGAATGGATAATAAGTGTGTTTAAGCAAGAAATGAAGCTAGTAAATTAAATGAGGCTCACCTATGTTATTGCACTTGCATATATATACTTTCTATTGACTAAATAAATGACTAATACATACAATGTTTTCATGAGATATCTTTTCAAATTAGTTAATGAGCAATAGGACCATTTATTTATGCTGCAAAAGAACTCTTCATATTCGAATAGCTTTTCTTTCGTCATGAATTTATATTCATGGTAATTTCAATGGCTTTCTCACCCTATCCCACGTCGATTAGCAATTAAACTAACACACACGCATATAGTTTTGAATGATTGTGCTCGAGTTGTACCTTCATAATATGGAAGTAATCGATTATGTGCGACCTGTTTATGTTAGGTTGGTTGTTATTTTATGTAAGGCATGCACCAACTATTGACTATCGATAGCGACCATTGAATGAGCTAGAATTGGTGGTTACTAATATTGACAACATAATAAAAGAAGCTTCCATAGATGCCTATAAAAAAGACATGATTTTAGAGAGCAAAATGAGAAGAATTTTATGATGATTTTAGAAAGCAAAGAGAAGAATTTTGTGAGCATATGAAGAGAGAAAAAGAGAGCTGCAATGAGAAGAGTTTTGTGAGAATGTGAAGAGAGAAAGAGAGAGCTGCAATGGCAGCAAGGCAAAAATAGAAAGAGTTTTGTGAGAATGTGAAGAGAGAAAAAAGAAAGAGAGAGCTGTAATGGCAGCAGCTTTGCTGCCATTGCAGCAACTGCAAGTGCAGCAAAGAAAGCTGGAGTAGAGTAGAGAGAATTGATCTTTCTCCTCCATGTATTTGTTTTATATTCTTTCTCTAATCTCTAATAATATAGACTCTCTCTCGTGGATGTAGGCGGTTTTGCCGAACCACGTAAATACCGTGTCTTAGTGTGCTTCACCTCCTATGAGCAAATATTAGTACATCACCGGTCAGAATTTCCCAACAATTGGTATCAGAGCACATGGTTTAAAGTGGTGTTTGATTTTGCTAAAAAATAAAAGTT